GGCTCGTGTTGCACCCTATCCTGCACCACATGGAATGCACGACGTATTTTGCAAGACATGGCTCACACCCCCATGGATCGCACCACGTACGTTGCACCGCGTGGACTGCACCACGTAGCTTACACCACGTAGCCTGCACCGCAGAGCTTCCACTGCATCGTTTGCACCACGTCGATTGGATCACCGAGTATGCTAGAAGCCGCTATCACTGTGTGGGCTCCACGCTGGCTCACATGTCATGCACCTGCTGTAGGGGCTTTGTGTGTCCTGCTGTGGGTTCAAATATGAAGCAAGGCACAATCTTGAATGTTCGGAGGTCCGCGCGAATCTCTTGCAGTTTATGTATTCTGCCACGTGTTCTTCTTCTTCTTCTTCTTCTATGGGAGGAGCCGTTGCAGGAGGCTTGAGTTTTGTGAAATGTGTTTTGCTCATTTTTGCCGCTGTGGGGGCCTCCTAGGGCCTATGGTGACCTCCAGAGAGGATGCCGCGGACCTGTGGGGACCTCGGAGGGCGGAGGAGTGAGGGCTCTGTTCCATGGCAACTGTGCGATGGCATGCCCGAGGTCGTCCGAGGAGTGGGCGCCTCCCGCGGGGAATCGCACCGCGCGCGCGCGCGCGGGGGGGGGCAGAGGGCGGGCGTGGACGTGCGCAGATCACATCGTTGCCAAACTCTCAAAGGAAGCACTGCAGCGAGGGAGGAGGAGGGAGGAGAAGGAGGAGGAGGACGAGGAGGAGAAGGAGGAGGAGGGGGAGGAGGGAAGGAGGAGGAGGAGGAGGAGGAGGAGGAGGAGGAGGGAAGGAGGAGGAGGAGGAACGCCTGCAGCACGGACAGCGGCGGGCTCTCACTTCTCCCCCAGCTCACGCCCCTCGGGGCCGTCTCCAGGCGTGAGCGTTTCCCGACAGCCAGGGCCCTCGCACCGTGCGCAGTCGTCTGCGCAAGCCGCTCGTGTCCAGGCCCTCCGTGTCGTGTGGCAGCGGGGGGCCTTGGCTTTCGCAGATCTTTGTGCTGCCCATGCCCCTTGCCCTTTCTCTCCACCGTACCCTCTCCTCTTCCCCCCCTGCCCCGTTTCCATCCCCATCCCCCCCTCGGCATCCCGATCGCCCCCTACTGCCACTGGCAGTCGCCTTCCCTCCGCCTCATCATCCTATCCCCTTCGCAATTCACCCCTTGCTCGTCCAATCTCTGTCACCCTCTCAAGCCCGCGCTCCCTCTCACTCACCCCTCTCCGGGTGATCTCTGCCTGCTGTTGCTGCTGCTTCTCGTTCTCCTTTCTCCTCGCCCTCCTCCACTTACCTCCCACGATGTCCGCCTTGTTACAATCCGCGGCCCTAGACGTCCTGGCCCGATCCGGTCCTGATGGTCCCGGGGCCCGAAGACGGGCCCCAGAAGGCAGAAATCCAGGAACCACACCGGTTGACAAAAAACATCTCGCCGGAGGAGGAGCGAAGGGTTGGAGGAGGGGGGGAGGAGGAAGAGGAGGAGGAGGAGGAAGAGGAGGAGGAGGAGGGGGAGGAGGAGGAGGAGGACGAGGAAGAGGAGGAAGCGGAGGAGGAGGAGGGGGAGGACGAGGAGGAGGAGGAGGAGGAGGAGGGAGAAAAAAGGGGGAGGAGGAAGGGGGCCCCTGCTCGGGCGGGTGAGATTCACAGCTGATGGAGGATCTCCCCTTGCTTACCTTCCTCCTCCTCCTCCTCCTCCTCCTCCTCATCTCCTCCGTCTCCTCCTCCTCCTCCTCCTCCTCCTCCTCCTCCTCCTTGTGCTGAGCCGTTGCTCCCGAGCGGAGGGGCCGGGCTGCCGCGCGTGGGGCCCCGAGCCCCCTCAGGTCCCCATCGGCGAAGCTGGGAGCGGCAGTGCCGACGGGGAGCCGCCCAACATAGGCCGGGGCAGAGAGCAGGACTGGAGAGCAGCAAGCACATGGAGGGCTCCTCAACGGCGTGGGGAGATGAAGGAGATCGTGCGTCGCTGCAGCGACAAGGGGGGAGGGCAGAGGCTGAGCGTCGTGGCCACTCGCCGCCCCACGGACAGAGCTGCGCTGCATGCCCATTCCTTGCCGGTGTTGCGCGTTATCTGCCACGGGCCCGCGACCACCGGCGCGAGTGCGCCCCAATGTGAGTGGTGGGGGGACGACCAATTCAACGTCTACCTCTCTCTCACTCTGTGTCTCTCGGGCTGGAGGGCACAGAGAGTCTTGTTGCAGCGCTCGGCCTCAACCCATTGCCTCATCCCGTCGGCAGGGGCAAGGCGATGCACATGTTGACGGCCATCGTGGAATACGGCTGGCCACTTTGCATTTCCTGCGATTGCATCCTGAGTTCTCTGTTTGGATCGTGGGAGTGGTAATTACCTCATCCCGTTCCTGTGAGTTGGTGCTAAACCCGGAAATAACAAATTAACAATGCGAAAAGCACCGGAAGGATGTTTGCGGTGAATCGAGAAGCCCTTGTTTCGTAGCCGTCATTTGGCGCGCTGGATCTCGGGGGCGTGTCAGTGGCCAGAAGGCCGCTGGGAAATAGCGTCCAAGCGAGAAGTTCCGGCATCTGCGTATCCACCTCGGAGCGGAGGCTTGTATATTAGCTGTGCGCCCCCGGCCCCTGCCCAGAAAGCCAGAAAGGCCTTTATTGCAGGCCAGGACGTAGGCCAGGAAACCTCTTGCTGCTGCTGCTGCTCCTCCTCCATTCCTTCTCCTTACAAGTAATTTCTCCCTGTCGCACCTCGAGGCCAGTTTTTAGGGCGGGCCGGGCGTTTCGCCTGAGACTTCCTCACCGCTTATGACCCTGAAGCTTAAATCGGCAACAGCTTCACAGATGGAGGGCGGGTGGTGTTCAAAATGTGGCTCTCGCCTTAGCGCCGCGCACACTCGCCTTCAAGATGTGCAGGAGTTTTACGGATTGAGGGCGGGTGGTTTCCAGAATGTGGCTCTCGCGTTGGCGCCGCGCACATTCGTTTTTGAACATATGCAAGAGTTTCACGGATGCGGGTGGTTTTCAAAATGTGGCTCTCGCGTTAGCGCCGTGCAGATTCGTTGTCAAAATGTGCAGGAGTCTCACAGATTGAAGGCGGGTGGTTTTCAAAGTGTGGTTCTCGCTGTAGCCCCGCGCACACTCGTTGTCAAGATGTGCCAGAGCTTCACGTATTGAGGGCGGGTGGTTTTCAAAGTGTGGTTCTCGCCCTGGCGCCGCGCGCATTCTTTGTCATCGTTGCAAGAGTTTCACGGATTGAAGGCGGGTGGGTTTCAAAGTGTGGCTCTCACCTTGGCGCCGCGCATAATCGTTTCCAACATTTGCCAGAGCTTCACGGATTGAGGGCGGCTGGTCTTCAAAATGTGGCTCTCGCGTTAGCGCCGCGCACATTCGTTTTACAAGTTACAAAAGTCTCACGGCTTTCCAGGATCGACGTAATTACCAGAAATTGTGTTTTGGAGGGATGCACTACTTTGAGGGCGCAACAGGTAAGATGACTCGCGGAGTTGAGGTCCCAGGAATGGCGTTCTGGCACGATTCCGGATCGTCATGGCGCAGCAGTCAGGTTCATCCGTGGCGTTGACCTCTCCCTCCTCATTCTCCCCCTCCTCCTGAGGAGGGGGAGAATGAGGAGGAGGAGGACCTCCTCCTCCAATTCCTCCCCTTTCCCATCCCCTCCGCCTCTCCTCGTCCTCCTCCCCCTCCTCCTCCTCCTCCTCCTCCTCCTCCTCCTCCTCCTCCTCCTCCTCCCCCTCCTCTTCCTCCTCCTCCTCCTCGGGACAGCGTCCCGACCGAACTCCTCCTCCTCCTCCTCCTCCTCCTCCTCCTCCTCTTCCTCCTCCACCACCTTGTCATCCTCACGCCACCGCGTACCGCCCTTTTCCCCCTCCATCGCTTCTGGCGTGGGCAGCGAAAAGGGGGTCGGCACCGCCTCCCCGCGAGGTTCGCATCGAGACGACGGTGATCGACACGAGCCTCGAGGCGTGGATGGGATGCCGGGAAGGGGGGAGGGGAGAGGAGGGAAGAAACGCCCAGGGGGGGAGGAAGCAGGAGGGGGAGGAAGCAGGAGGGGGGAGGGGCTGGGGGCCAGAGCGAGGGGGAGGCGAGGTCGGGTTGCAGCTCATGCCACGAGACGCTCTCCGCAGATGGGCCCCCCGAGAGCATGCAGCCCCAGGTGGCCAGCGTTGGGGGCCCTCGTCGCGGCA